CTCATTACCTTGCTCATGTAACTGTAACCCCTCTGTACAGTATCTTTACAATAAAATAAATATTTAATGAAAAAAGAACATCTAAAAATACCAAATAGCTAAGACTAAACTTAATTGTAGAACACCATGTTTTCCCTATGACCAGTTGCTATACATTAGGTCAATAGCCACTAGATCTTCTGTGTTCCTTTCATTATATTAGTAGAGGGCCTAGCTATTACAGTGAATTAAGAAAATAAAACATAGAAACATGGAGGTATAACTGGTTGTTTTGGAGATTAAAGTCTAGCTTATAGTCTAACCACAGTTCTACAGATCTTAGCCTCATAACTTGCTGCAATTGTAGGCAGCAGCCATCAGTGCCTATCTAGGGATGTTTTAATAAAAACAGTCACAGTATTTTTAGTAGCATGATAATAAGCTTATTTGTAGCTAGGAAATAAAAGCATATTGGTAACTAGATGCCAACATTAATCTGTTTTATGTTTTTCAGTAATATTTGCATTTCTCACAAAAATACTTTAGCTCTTATACAAGCAGTTAATTTAAGTCACCATTCTACAAAAGTGTGCCACAAAGAACTTAGGTTTTTAAGCCAGCAATATATATCAACCTTGAAATGTACCACATTAGTCCTCTGATGTTTGAGTTATTTAAATGCTCATATTTCTTTTCTCATTTTGGAAAATAATCATAATGTTAGTTCACATCATAAATGTCAAGGTAGCATTGTATTTCTGTGGCAACATTTTCTTGGTTTCATTTGTGTAATTCTGGTAAAAGGCATTCACTGCTTATTGTTCATTGTGTGTGGGGCTTATATGTGTGTGATTATGTGATTATACATATATAGCAAACAGAGTTTTTTTTTTTTCTTTAAACATACTAGTTATGTGTAACGTACTGTAGATGTGTGCTTGTTTGTTTTATTCACTAAAGATATTTTAGAGGTCTTTCTATATCAATTTATGTAGAGCTGTCTTTATTCCTATGTTAGATTGCTTATGTTTTCTCCGTTCTCCTCTGGTTTTTTGCCTCTTTGAGTTGTTTTATGGCCATTTTTCTTTTTGCCTTTTGTTATTTCATTTTCATATGATGGTATTCTCCAATTATGTATTCAATTGAATTATATTACCAATATGTATAACAGTGTTTCATTTAGAACATTACATTTACCCACAAAGTTCCTTCATTTTATTTCTCAGTGGTTATGTAGGCAATCACTGAATATTTTTCATTTCAGTCTATCTTGTGTCTTGTAAGATTTCACATAGAATCATTCAGTATTTAGTGTTCAGCTTCTTTTGATCAAGAATCAAGCACTGTACTACTTATCAGACTACTTCTGAAGTTCATCAAAGTGTCCATAATTTTCTTTTTTGTATGTATATATCTCCTTTGAATTTCCATGCTTTTAAAATTAGCTTATCGGGCTGGAAGGTGGCTCAGTGGTAGAGTGCTTGCCGTGGATGCATGATGCCCTGGGTTCGATTCCTCAGCACCAAATAAGCAGATAAAGCTGGAAGTGGTACTGTGGCTCAAGTGGTAGAGCTCTAGCCTTGAGCTGATACACTGAGGGCAGTGCCTAGGCCCAGAGTTCAGGCCCCACAACCGACCCTCCCCCCCCAAATAAAATAAAATTAGTTTATCCATTACTATAAAATTATCTTAATAATAGCATGTTGGTAAAAGATTGTAAACAAATGGACCATAATCATGTGGGAAAAAACATATAGTTTATCTTTATACTTAGGTTGTATAAAGACTTTGGCAAGGTTAATAAATGTGCAGGTCTTAGATATCTTGTGTTAATATCTATAATCAGGCATCGGTAGAACAAGTGGAAGTTCTCTTGGCAGTCTTGAGCTTTTACTGACAGGAACCAGAGAGGGGTCTGTATTGTTCTAGGCCTGTCCCTGTTCTAGGCCTGTCCCTGTTCTAGTGCTGTCCTTTAGTTATTTTGCTCAAGACTACCTAGCATTGTACCACTTGAGCCACAGCTCCATTTCCTGCTGTTTGATGGTTAATTGGAGATAAGAGTATCATGGATTTTCCTACCTGGGCTGGCTTTGCACCATCATCTTCAGACCTCGGCTTCCTGAGCAGCTAGGATTACAGGTATAAGCTATCAGCCCCCAATGTTCCCCTATTATCTTTTCCCCCCTATTATCTTGAATATTTTTTCCTTGTCTGTTCTTGTTTTTATGAAACTGAGTATTACTGAGTATTTGTTTTGTTGATCAGTGTTTATTTCAGGTTTTCTGATAAGATAATTTTTGTGAATTTTTAGATGTAATGACTTGTCTTCTCCATCCTCATATGAATTTTATTTCTGCATTTGTGATTTTCAGCTCTAGTATTTCTACTTGCTACATTTTAATAGTTTTCATTACTCAACTGGTTCATTAAGTTCATGAACTTATTTAAAATAGCTTAATATTCTTGTCTGCTAGTTGATCTTGGGATCTGTTTCTGTTGATTGTTCAGTTCTGACTAGGTATAATATTTAACTGTTTCTTCATGTTACTTGCCTCGGCAGTGTTAGTTGTGTTCCAGCAGGTAGTTTTCAGTAGCATCAAAATCCATACATAGGCTGGAGCTGAAATATATTATTTTAGTCCTCCACGTGCTAGTTTGCTGGTTTCATTCAACCCCCAGTCTGTCCACTTTGTCATGAAGGTCTCAAAAGGGATTTTGGCACAGTTCATAGGCATAGTTTGATGTTGTTGTTTTTGTTTTTTTCCCTCTGATTGACTATTTAGAGTTAACTAGTTTTTTAAGTTACTGTTGCCTTACCTAGCTCACTCTAGAGAGTTTCTTAATTATGAAAACATGGAAACAATTCTCTAATGTAGTTCTCTTCTTCTACAGATTTATGTCCCTTTACTTCTTATTTACTTCTGGTTTGTCTCTACTGTGTTCAAAGACTTTTATTACATTTGGTTCAGAATTTTTTATTATCTAGAAGAAAGTTAATGTAGTTGAGGCTCCTTAAATACTACTCTTGCTGTCCAGTTTGCATTTTCTTTCACTAATTGCAGCTTTTCAATTGTGGTGTGCTACATTAGAGTAATTTTGTCTGGATCTTTTTATTGAGATTGCATCAAGTACATAAATTTGGTACAAATATATCCATGATACTGTCTTTTTGTTTAGAGACATGTATGTTACTTACTGTACCTTTGCATTGAGTTATGTTTAAAATGTTTCCTGTATAATTTTGCACATTTGCAGTTGTATTGATTCTCGTTGCTTTGTATACTTTGTTAAAATTATATTATAAAATACACAAGCAGATACTTTTAGAAGCATTTAATATTTTAAAAGAACTTTTGTAAGGATAGTCTGATAAAGAAGTAAAGGGTTAGTAAAGTGGATAGTCTAAATAAACAGGTAAAGGGTTAAGTACTATGTGCTAATAGTAGTCAGAAAATGACTGAGTTAAGATGTGAGGGTCTGTTTGCTTTTAGATTGCATGTTCTTAAAAACTACTGATTATTGATTAATTTCATGGCTTAAACAGAGTATAACTTAAGTGCGTCATGCTCTGTTGTAAGTTCTGGTTTTCATGTTAGTCCTAGAGTAACTTGAGTGAAATGTTCTTTTAAATGTCATAAGAACAAAATGCCCTCTGACCAACACTGTGTTTAATCATTTTCCTTGAGTTATTTCCAAAAACAAAATGATTAAGTACTATCCCTTTTTTAAATTGAATCACAAAATGTTCTAAAATCCAGGTAATTATTTTCTGACTTAAACTATTTATTCCATATATTCTAGTGAATATTTGATATGTATCTTTTAATTAAAGAAACCATTTAGGTTGTGATTTTAAAATCAGCGTGCTTTTGGGAGAAAAGGATAAGTCTAAATTATCCTCTCTTTTTTTGTCTTATTCTAGTAGTTATAGTTTGTACACTAAAAAGCAAAAGAATCTAAAACATTTTAAGGCAGTGCAGAAAAATTTCTCAACATGGTTTTTAAACTTTTTTTCAATTGTGTAATAATTACGCCCCCAAAGCAGGACATGAGAACAGTTTCTGGCAGAAAGGCAGCTATATAAGGATTGTGTACAGGGGGACTGTTCTGCCTAGACTCAGAAAGTAAGCTAACTAGACCAGCTATGTGTGAATTTGGAGTGTAATCAATTGTCTATTTTCAAAAGTTGTTTTGAAATAGTCCATCTTCCCTTTTGAAATTTTGATGACTTTGTAGTATGTGAGAAAGGAAATTGAGTTTCATAAACTACCTTACAGCTAGGATCCATGGCTGTCAAATAAACAAATGTCCCATTCCAAAAATTCCTTTTAAACTCTTCCTTTCTTCCACAGACCAGAAGTTACTTTGAATTGAAGTAGTGGCAGGGAAAATAGAATTTATCTCTGGGATGCCTATGTTCTGGAAAGAAATGTGGAAGAGAAATTTTAAGATGTGCTATATTGGAGTAACTTCACAATCGTGTGTCCTTTAAATAGAGTAATAGTAATTTTTAGTGAAACTGAATATATAACTATCACAGCCAAATAACATGAAAATCTTAACAGCGTTTATATTTGTTTCAATTGGATTTTTTCTTATGTTAAAAGTATCCAATTGACATCTGGTTTCAGATACAAATTAATAGCTAGATTTTTTTTTTAACTGAGTGATAAAACAGGAACATTCTTTGAATGGCTGAAGGCATGGGTGTTAGATCTTGTTTTGAGTAGAGGAAATGGGAAAGGACATTACAGGTATGATTTCACTTAAGCTAGAGAGCATTGATGTTCACATTTTAAAAACATAATCATAACTTATCTGGAGTCACATGTTTCATTTTATTGGCTTCCTTCATATAGAAAATATAGTAACCAGCACTAAATGCCTGTGAAAAGTGAAACAATGTATATTTTCTGGGTGAAGGAAGTATTCTGTACATTCTCCATGTTTTACATCATGGTATTTTGAATAACCATGCTTCCATGTTCACATCAATTTTTTGTTTTTCAATTTATGCACAGCACTTGCTCTGAAATTTGGGGACTGAGTACACCAAATACGATAGATCAGTGGGATACAACAGGCCTTTACAGCTTCTCTGAACAAACCAGGTGAATATTCTGCCCTCTATGGAATCCTAGAGATCTTGTGGGAGGGGGTGTGTTTTGGAAGACCTCTATTGGGTTGCTTACTATAATTTTGCCTAATATGTTTCCTTAATGTAAAATAAGGCATAGCATTCAAAATATCTGCTTGCCAGTATTAAATGTTTCAGCCGATGTTTTGATCAATGCAATTTTAGTTTTGAATCTTTTAAAAAATTATTCTATCCCCTAAAGAATAAGAACTTTGATAACTATATACTCATTGTAGTTCAAGATTAGATTAATCGTTGCGGTCTAGTATTTTGAGTAGACACATGACCGGTTATTGCTAAATTTTTTGTTGTCATTTAAATATCATCTTTGTACTAATACATAGTTATTTACTGAAACCCTTATATCACAATTAACAATAGGCTAACTTGTTTTTTTGTTATCTTTTAAAAAAATCACCTCATTTAAGCATATTGGTATTTGTCCATTTCATCTCATCATATTCATCGCCATCTGCATTTATGTGTGAGCTAAATATAAGTATACCTCTGTTACCAAAATCACAACTGAATGATGAGTTATATTAGTTTGAGTAAGTTACTACCCATCATTGTTGATATTTATCATTCCTCACTCAACTTTCTTTTTTTGACTATTCAACTATCTACAGAATTAATGCCCTTTTAAAGAGTTTGGCTTATTAAGGATAGATATTGACAAAATGTTTTTCAAGTACAGTCATGTGATATTCTTTTGAAAAGATGAATTTTTCCCAAGTGATGAGCCTTTTATTGGCATGTGAGTCATTTACTCAGAGTATTGATAGGAAACATCTGCTAGTGCTGCTGCTCACTTGATCAGATTGGTTAAAGAGTACACTTTTCTTCCTGGTTTTCACCAAAACTAACTCAGTGGCTGTCATTCCTTTCTTTATGTTCTCAGTCTACTTAGCCCTTTTGACTACATATATTTTTTTTCTTTTTTCTTTTTTAAAGTTTCTTTCTTTCTTTTTCTCCTTGCTTCCCAATAGATCTCTTGATGGTCGGCTTCAGGTTTCCCATCGAAAAGGGTTGCCACATGTTATATACTGCCGATTATGGCGCTGGCCTGATCTTCACAGTCATCATGAACTCAAGGCAGTTGAAAACTGCGAATATGCTTTTAATCTGAAAAAGGATGAAGTTTGTGTAAATCCTTATCATTACCAGAGAGTTGAGACACCAGGTAGGAAGACTACAGAGATTTTTAAATTAAATGCCTGAACTTAAATATTTTTTGGTACTCTTGTGAATCCAGGGAAATATTAGCATAAAATTCTAATAAACTATCTTAAATTGAGTGTATTAATTGATAGTAGTTGTAAATGCTTTCTTTTAAAAATTATGGAAAAACAGAGAAAAAGTGAGGTCTGGTTCTTGGATAGAATACTATATTGTTCATAAAGATACTTTGTCAGGAAATTATAGGCTACAGTTTTCTTAGAGTAAACTGACAGTGCTCTGTACCTCTGCTGCACTTGCTCTTTTTCCTTTTTTTTTTTTTTTGTTTTGTTGTTATTGTTATAGTCCTGGAGCTTGAACTCGAGGTCTGCATGCCATCCTTGAGCATTTTTGCTCAAAACATTTTGTGCTTAATTGGAGAAAAGAGTCCCACAGAATTCCCCACCTGGGTTGGCTTTGAACTACAATCCTCAGATTACAGCCTTTTGAGTAGCTAGGATTACAGATGTGAGCCACTAGCTCCCAGCTAAGCACTTGCTCTTCAATGCACTTTCAAGAGTATTTTTATGATATTTGTGTATATGTAGTTTATTCAAGCTCATTGCAAGATTTTCATTTAGAGTGTGCTTGGAACCTTAAAAAAAATACAACTATATATTTTTAGAAAATCCTCTAGGTTCTATGAACTCTGATAGTAGAACATTCAGGTGGTAGACTACATAAATCAAAGCCAGGATTGAATTTATCCTTTCTTAGGAACTACTAGAATACTAAATAGGTGAACTCTAATAACTTAAAAAAATTAATCTGTTGCCTTCTCTTTCCTTATGAAAACTTTCATTAAGGTCCCTCCACTCCTTTCTTTCCTTCTTGCCTCTAATGGGTTTCTTTAACTCTTGCAGTTTTGCCTCCGGTGTTAGTGCCCCGGCATACTGAGATTCTAACAGAACTACCACCTCTGGATGATTACACCCACTCCATTCCAGAAAACACTAATTTCCCAGCGGGAATTGAGCCACAGAGTAATTACATCCCAGGTATTTTTGCCTTCTGAAACTTGCCTAAAACTTAAACAGATAACAATTTTGTCATTAACAGTGGAAATGTTAGTAAATCATGGTTTTGCTTTTTTCAAAATGCTTCTAGATTTTGAATAGAAAAATCTTGATTTGTTGGATAATTAGTTTTGAAGTGTCTAAGCTTAGTACATTTAAAAAAATTTGGTTTAGAAAAAAGCTTTTACTTTATATTCATTTTCTTTTTTAGTGGGTTTAGTCTAAGTGCTGTGAGAAGCAGAAAGGACTGTAGTGAAAGTTTGTCTTAGTTGTTTGAAACAGAGAAATGCAGAATGTAACAAATAATTGGTTCAGGAAAATTGTATTTCTGAAACAAATGTAACTGAAAGAATGCTTCCTAAATAATTACTATTAGATAATGTAATATTTAAGTGTAACATTTCTCTAGGAGATACAGTGTTTTAACTCAGTAGATGAAACAACACTGTAATTATATTAAAAATCAGAAAACCTCTTATTTTTAGTTAGGTTTCTTGTGGACTTTAGTCTAAACTCCAGATGAAATATGAATAAGTCCTACCACATGGCTCTAAAAATTCCATTCTCCTGTTTTATGTGATCCAGTAAATTTCACAATACAGTATTTGTCATTTTAGTCATTAGGTTATTTTGTGTTTTTTTTTTTTTTTTGTTTTGTTTTTTTATTGTGAAAATACCGTACAGAGGGGTTACAATTACATGAGCAAGGTAATGAGTACATTTCTTATCAAGCATTGTTTCCTCCTCCTTTGTCATTAGTTTTTTTCTAAGGGAACAGTAATCTTATGTTATTTTTCCTGTATGTTTCCCCTTGCTTGTTTTCTCCCCATGTAGAAACTAAGGATATGATATTAGAATGAGGACTCAGCTATATGCTGGATTTTTGGTCATGGGTTTTTTTTCCTCTTTTGGTGATGGGAAATGTGTTGAACTCAAGTCTCCAGATTGCAGGCTGTCTACCACTGGAGATATACCTCCACTTCCTCCATTTATGTTTCTTTATTCCAACCTGACTTTAATTTTTTACAACTGAAAACCTGTCAGGAACCTAAGAGTTAAGAGTTTCATGTACATTAAGAAAATACTTCCTTGGAATTTTCTATCATGGAAGACCGCTTGTTCATTGAAGACACTTTTTTTTTTGGTCCAGTCATGGGACTGAACTCTGGGCCTGGGCGCTGTCCCTCAGCTCTTCAGCTCATGGCTAGCGCTCTACTACTTGAGCCACAGCGCCACTTCTGGCTTTTTTCTTTTTGCTTATATGGTGCTGAGGAATCAAACCCAGGGCCTCAGGCATGTAAAGCAAGCGCTCTACCACTGAGCCACCTTCCCAGCCCCTATTGAAAATAATTTAAAAAGGTGTAAGAAAAGGGAGAAGTATTTTTATATTTATTTATTTAATTATCTTTAAGTAGTTGTACAAAGGAGTTGCCATTTAACATACTGCATCTATTTTTACAGATAGGAAGTGATAAGGTTACTTTTTACAGTGTTGTTACATAGGAATATTTTAAAAAGTTAGCAAGGAAGAAGAGAGATGGGGTGCAATACTAAAGAATGAGACATTTCCCAAGTAGAAAAATTCAATCTTGTCTTTCATAAACCTGCTTAAGGTGGATTTTTTTTTGTATGTTGTATGTATGTGCATGTATGTTTGTGCTCATATTAGGAGGAAAAGAGATAGTTTTAAGTCTTTTTTTTTGGGGGGGGGGTCCGGTCATGGGGCCTGAACCACTTGAACCACAGCACCACTTCCGGCTTTTTTCTTTTTGCTTATGTGGTGCTGAGGACTCGAACCCAGGGCCTCATGCATGCAAGGCAAGCACTCTACCACTGAGATACCTTCCCAGCCCAGTTTAAGTCTTTAAACGTGGAAATGACATACAGTATAATAAACTAGGGTATAAGCACAGTCTCATGAGACACATACTTTATAACTTTTTACAAGGACACACATCTAAATGTGTAGTGGCCTAACTTGTGAAGGTGTTTGGGTTAGTATTTTTTTTACCCTAACTTGTATAGAAGTTAATATTGCATAAAGTAGAAAATCATAATTGAATTCTTCTGACTGGCTCTTCTGATCAGGGAGGTTTTATCCACTGCCAACCATAAACAAAACCAGAGTTCACCTTTTTGTGTGTGGTGCTAGGAATCAGACGCAGGGTCTTGTGCATACTTGGCACATACCTAGTTTGATCCCTAGTCAAAGTTCACTTTATTAGTTCTCTTCAAAAGAAATTTTAGCATTTTCTCAAAAATACAAATAGCTTATTGATATGTACAAACATAACTGGAGGAAAATGAAATACAGTAAGCTAAAATGTCTTATTTCTTTCACCTTACCTTGGTGGAAGAAATGCCTTATATCTCTAAGACACTGATTAACCTGGCAAAGGTTAGCTCTAACTCTGTTAACTTTAACTTTTAAAATAACATATATCTTTTAGTTATATTTTTGCCCTTTACGGTTTAGCTATATGAAGATAATTAAGATTTTTTTCAGTATGATGAGTTTAGGACACTGAGTATGGAACTCTCCTGTAATCCCAACACTTGGAAGACTGAGGCAGAAGGATCACAAGTTTATAGCCAGTTTGAGCTTTGTAATGAGACCCTGTTAAAGAAACAGACAAAAAGATTTGAGGTGTTGGCTTTTAAATGGAAAGTTTGATATTTAAAATTTATGGTTAAATAATTTAATATACATTGTAGGGATAGTGAAGGAGACTTTTAACCATGCCTTCCTTTCTCCCTTTTAATAACTGCAAGAATGTATAGTTATTAAAGAATGTGTAACTTAAATGACAACTCCTTTGTACAACTACTTAAAGATAAATAAATAAAATAAAATTTCTTCTCCCTTTTCTTACATCTTTTTAAATTACCTTCCATGAACAAGCATTCTTCCATGATTGAAAACTCCAAGGAAGTATTTTCTTAGCTTTGTGTATATATTACCTTTATTGCTTAAAACTTTCAATATAAAGCTGTTGAAAAATCTTTTGAACTTATTGTTTTCTCCTTAAAATCACAAATGATGAAATTGTGCAAATATTTTTATTTTCTATGAAGTATACTTGCCTATTCAGATACCACTTGAATATTTTGTTTAAAAAGTATTGAAAATTATACATTTGAGTCTTAATGTTTATTTTTAAGGAGTATTTTGCCTATATAGTACAGTAATTCATGCATGAATTTTCTACTTCAAAATTTTAGAAGTTACTAGTTAGAAATAATGAAAAATTGACATGTCAGTCCTGAACCATTTTATCATAAGTTGTACTGTAAACCTTGTATTTAACAAAATATGCCAATTGAGTTTGGGTGATAGTGGCTCACTCCTATAATCCTAGCTACTCAGGAGGCTGAGATCTGAGGATTATTATTTGAAGCCAGCCCTGTAGGAAAGTCCATGAGGATTCTTATCTCCAATTAACCACCAAAAAAGCTGGAAATGGAGCTGTGGTTCAAGTGGCAGAGTGCCAGCCTTGAGTGAAAAAATGAAGGGACAATACCCAGTTCACACACAGACACACATACACACAGAAAGGGAGTTGAATTGTATTGTGAGTAGGTTTTAAAGATGTACCTGGAAGATTTTGATCAGAACTTGAGTCATAAATCTTCAGTTCAATCTTTTTTTATAATAATGTTTTTATCTTTTATTTGGGGATTATTTATTGGTTATATTTGGTAGCTATGAGAAAAGGTAAAATCAAATCAAAATAACTACTTAATTTGTTCTAAACTTTTATAGAAACACCACCACCTGGATATATTAGTGAAGATGGAGAAACAAGTGATCAGCAGTTGAACCAAAGTATGGATACAGGTAAAAAAAAAAAAAAGACCAAAATTTCTGAATGATAACTCTTCAGCTCTCTGTATCTACAAGTCCCACATGTGGATTCAACCAACCACAGATGGAAAATATTTAAGGAAAATTTTGCATCTGTACCAAACATACAAGACTTTTTCTGGTCATTATTTCCTAAATAATACAGTATAACAACTGTTGACATGGTATTTTCTGTGTCATTTTATATGAGGAAAGTAGCTGTAAACTTTTATTGTCCACAAGGAGTTTTGGGCCAATCTTTTGAAGATGCCTAGGGTCCACTTTACATTTCTTATATTAACTGAAACTTGGATATCGCTCCCAAATTTAGAGAAGTTGAGAAACATACCAAAAAAGAGAATCTCCCGTTTTGATAGTAACTATTAAAGGGAGATAATGTTGCTATGAAAAAATCCGCATGTATTAACTATTTTGAAAATAATAGAATTTTTCTTATGACACCAATCAAGATACATTGTATTCATAAACTGTTAAAAGGCAACTCCTTTTTACAACTACTTAAAAATTAAAAAAATTCTTTCAATTTATAGTAATTATAAATGTGGAAATACATGGTTTTATTTCTTTTCTATATCCTGTGTTTCTATTTAAATTTTTAGTTACCCCATACCCAAAAAGATACATGAATATCCCTCTGAGTTGCGTGCCAGTGGCTCTGACTATATCCTACCCTAGTCATGAGGCTCTGGTCTGAGGATTGAGATTAAATGCCAGCCCTGGCAGACAAATCCCTAAGACCATTACCTTGAATTAACAAAAGCTGCAATGGCAGTATAGCTCAAGTGGTGTAGTGCCAATTTTGAGTGATAAAGTCAGGTGAAGTTCTGAGGCAAGCCCCATTGCCAGCACATATACACAAAGGCTCTTTGATAAAAGGCCATAAGTAGTCTGTGTTTTTAGAGGTATTTGAGAATAGGAGATGGAGAGCAGCTAAAGCTATTCAGTGCATCTTTAAGTAAATATGTCTTATGCTAACACTCTGTAGTTATAATCCACATAACTTTAAATTCTGTTAATATTTAAAGTCTTTAAAATTATCTTTTGACTCTTGTCTTGTTAATGTCTTGGAAAAGATTTATTTGTTAATGATTTCAAAGAACCAACTTTTATTTTGTTAACTTTTTTCTGTTGACTTTATCTCTTCTATTTCATTTGCATCTATTCTACAACATTTTCAATTAATTTGCAATTAATCCCCTTTCTTACCTCTTGTGTACATTCAGATCATTGATTTCTTTCCTAATATAGGCACTTAAAAGATACAAGTTTTCTCTGGGCATCAATGGCTCATTCCTGTAATCCTAGCTACTCAGGAGACTGAGATCTCAGGATCGTGGTTCAAAGCTAGCCCTGGCAGGAAAGTCCTGAGACTCTAATCTCCAATAAACCACTTACAAAACTATAAGTGGCACTGTGGCTCAAGAGGTAGAGTGCTAACCTTGAGCTGAAATGCTGAGGGACAGCACCCAGACCCAGAGTTCAAGTCTCATGACCGACCAAAAAGAAAAAAGTTACAAGTTTTCTTCTAACCCTTATTTTGGCTTTAAAACTACACATTTTAAAAAATGTTGTAAAGAATAGTGTACAGAGGGTTACAGTTACATGAGTAAGGTATGTTCAAGATATGTCTATTATGGACAGCATTTTGTACTGTCTACCTTTTACTGAAATAAAATGTACAATTAATGTTTGTACTTCCATTTCCATATATATAAAAAGAGATTATTGATACTGGGTTTAGGTTACCATTTTGCTACATGTCTTCAATTGCTTTATCTGTTTTTGATGCTTCTATTTTATTTTCCTGCCATAGTCAAAAAATTATTTTTTGGTCGTGTGGCCTGAACTCAGGGCCTGGGCTCTCTGAGCTCTTTTGCTCAAGGCTAGCACTGTACCACTTTAAGCTGTACCACAGATCCACTTCTGGTTTTCTGGTTGTTAATTGAAGATAAGAGTTTCACTGTCTTTTCTGCATGAGCTGGCTTTGAACTGCCATCCTCAGATCTCAACCTCCTAAGTAACTAGGACTATAGGCAGGAGCCACTAGCACCCACCCGGCATAGTCATTTATTTTTGTTCTTATATTTGCTCTTTGGCATTATTTCTTATAATATCTCCTAGATATTGTAAAACTTACATTATATTTTGCACCTTTTATATGAAAGTTACTTAAGTTGTAATATTTATAATTTCATGAGAAGTTTAAAAACCTTATAGCTGTCTAATTCCATTCATATATACCCATTGTCTTTGCTGTGATCACACATTATACTTTTAAAGGCATTTTTAAAGGATTAAAAAAATACTTTATTTTGACCATTTTTACTTTTTTTCCTGTTTTCCGTTCCTTTTCTGGAAACATTAATTTATTCCAGCACCGTTTGTTGAAGAGACATTACCTGTTCCATTGTTTTAGTTTGACTTCTTTGTCTAATGATAATTTGACAAAAAAGTGATAATATATTTGTGGATTTGGCTTTTGTCTTGCTATTAAGACAACTGAATCTTCATATAGATATTTTATTTTTCAGGTTTACAGTTCCCATGTTACAGATGTTATCTGATAATCCCAATATCTGGCTAATACATAGCTCTGCTTCTGTTTTATCATTTTAATTATAGATTACATTTTCCTACTTTGTATGTATCTCATTTTATAATTGAATACTTGGCATTTTATATAAAATTATACCAGAGTAATTTAGATACTCTTTCTCTTTCTGGGTACTAACTTGAAGAGCTTATCTCTCCTCTGGAATGAAGAGTCTAGATGATTTGTGCTTTAATTAATACCAGATTATCTAAAGTTTCAGGTATCCTTCCTCTTAGCAGAATTTTCAGATGCCTGAGACAAGACTATAGGCTATCTCATAGTTTCTTTTTTTTTTCTGCTATTTTTTGTTTTTGTTATTTATTTTTTATTGTGAAAATACCATACAGAGGAGTTACAATTACATGGGCAAGATAATGAGTACATTTCTTATCAAGCATTGTTGCCTCCTCTTTGTTTCCTCTTCCCATACTCCCTTCTCCTCCCCCCACCCGATCCCCCCCTCCCCCCGCCAAAGTTGTGAACTTAGTTTTTCGACATAACAACTTGTACAACATCTTGTACATCTCATTGTTGCAATGGCTCTACCTGTATCCCTAGTTAAATGATTTGTTTTTGCCCTTCCCCTCCACAAATTATACCAACATCAAATACAGTGAAAGCAGGGGTTATACGGTGGGGGAGGGACATACAAAGCAACATAGAAATCATCTTATAAATATGTTAGAAACACTTGCATGAAAGAAAACAAACACTTGAATACTTACCTTGGGGTTCATTCCCCTAACATCAACTTATCTGACCTTTTCTGCTTAACTCAGACATATACTAGTTACTGCAAATAAGGGAAACCATGGGACCTATGTTTCTTTGGACCTGGCTTACTTCACTTAATATAATTTTTTCCAAGCCTTTCCATTTCCTAACAAATGGGGCAATGTCATTCTTTCTGATGGAGGCATAGAATTCCATTGTGTATATATACCACATTCTCTTGATCCATTCATCTACTGAGGGGCATCTGGGTTGGTTCCATATCTTAACTATGGTAAATAATGCTTCAACAAACATAGTCATGCTGGTAGCTTTAGTATGGTCTTGTTTGTGATGATTTGGGTAAATGCGCAAAAGTGGGATTGCTGGGTCATAGGGGAGCTCTATGTGGAGTCTTTTGAGGAACCTCCATACTGCTTTCCAAAGTGGTTGAACAAGTTTACACTCCCACCAACAATGTAGTAAGGTTCCCTTCTGTTCATAGTTTCTTATCTTAGCTTGACACCCACCCCCTTTCCTGTGTTATCATATACTCAGCTAATCACATGAATTAGAATGGATTGATGAGGACTAGCTCTGTGTTGGGACTTCTTAATTCTCATAACCATAAAGTTTTGAATTGGTTTCTTTTTTAGCAAATCCAATCCTGTCTTTGTTTTAACTTTGTACACTATACTGTCTGTGGAAGACAGTATAGTGGTACCTTACAGAACTAGCCATTCTTTCAACATACAGTCCTGGCTTGTTTCTTGATATTTACCCAGGTGAATTGAAAACTTAAATGTTTACATAAAAACATGATCATAGTCTGATCATAGCAGCTTCATTCATGATTCTAAAATATGTGAATATAAGCAAAATATCCTTAATTAGTAAATAAATAAATTGTGGTACATCAAGACAATATAATATTTAGTGAGAAGAAATGAGCTATTATACTATTAAAAGACATGGAAGATGTGAAATTGCTAAGTGAAAGAGACCAGTCTACAAATGCTTTCTTCTGCAAAGTCCCAACTGTATGACAGTCTAGGAAAGGCAAAACCAGAGACGATAAAAGGTTAAGGCTAAAGAGAAGGGAAGATTGATTAGGGTAGCTTTTTTAGGTCATTGGAGTTACTCTTGATTCTACAAATGATGTGTACATGCTATACATTTGTTAAAACCGATAGAAAATATAAAGTATAAAGCCTAATGAGAATGAGACTGTGAACTTTAGATGATAATGATGTGTCAATGTGAGTTCATTGATGGTAACAAATATACTATTATAGTATGAGAATGCTGATGCTGAGTTGAGATTGTAGAGAAGGGGCAGTATATGGGACCTTTACATACATTCCTCTCAATTTTGCCCTGAACCTAAAATAATAATAATAAAATAATAATGTTTTAATGTCACCTGAAAGATGCACCAAACAGATTTTTTAATAGAAAATATTTTACAAATGTGCGACAATTCTAAGACCTGAGTTCTAAATTTAAAAACTTAAAAAAAAGAGGAAGAAGATAGTTAATAGAAAAAATGGACAGAAGGACTATGATTGGACCAAAACAAGAGAAACAAAATGGATAAACAGTTACTACATTTAAACTTGTTAAGTTGCAGGTGTCAGCATGTAGTGATATCAAGAAACTAATGAAATGAAACACAGTTTTAGAGGGTACTTCAGCACTTGTTTATAAAAATATCTTTGATATAGAGTAAAAAAGCTAGAAGTAGAAGTATGGCTCAAATGGTAGAGTGACAGCCTTGAGTGTAAAGTAAGAACTTGAGGCCCAGAGTTCAAGCCTTAGTACCAGCACCAGGTGTCTGTGTATAGATACGCATGCATGCATGTATGTATGTGTGTGTATGCATGCATATATGTATGGAAGTAGTTAATAGATAAGTATAACTGGGCAATTTCCTTTTCCATCAATAGCTTTGTTTATTTTTTGTCTGCTTCAGCAAACAGTGGTGAATTTGAGTTAGTTGGTCTAAATATATTTGACCTTTTCTTAGTTGTACCAGTTGCTACTTGCCAACAGATTTTTCAAATGAGTAACTAGCTTAATTGTATTAAAGAAGATCATTTTGTGTTCAAAAGTATTCATCATCTGTTCTGTTTCTCATTTGTCTGTTTATCTTGGAGCTGCCCTTTAATCTTTGCTACCTGCCATTTTATGTAGTGGTTATAGGTATGTGGTACATGAAGTAGTCTGACCTCCCTTCCTCTACATGTGTTCCAGCGTGTATGTGGGAAGCTTGGGAGCTATATGTAAATTATGCTCTTTCAGATGACTTTCCCTAAATATGTAAAGAATGATAAAAGTACACTAAATATATATTTATAATTCTAGTAAATTATTTAACATTAACAACCTGTGCTGTAGAATATATGGAATTGAGTAAAGTAGTCTTAAAGATTGTTTTGTTCTGTTGTCTCTCTTTTGTTGGTCCTTTTTCTTATTTTGAGTATTTATGCGCTTTTATTTTCTTGATTTGAGTGATTTGGATTACTTAAAATGGAAATAAAAATCAGATGATTTTCTGAGAAAATGTGATTTGATAAATCTGACTAGAAGAAATAAACCTATCTTTCATCTGAGAAATAATATCTTAGAGAAAACCCTAGGGAATTGTTAATTCTTCTAAACTTTTGAAGTGTACAGTTAAAATATAACTTGAACTTATAGAGCATAGACAAAGACAAGGCTTTTAAGTTATTTTAACATTGATCATACAGCCTTATAAACATAACACTAGCATAACATTTGTATTGCTTCAGATTGTCAATATAGAAGTTATGAATAAGTAATTTTATCTCTCAGCTTCAAGGCCAATTATGCTTGGAGGTAAAATGCTAAAAATATTGCCTACCTTAAAGAAGACAAGACGATCCACTATTAGTACTCTTTCATTAAATGGTAATATGAAATTCAATAAATGTTACATTGTCAGAATCAGAATTGAGTCATAGATCAACCAGATATTTGCAGTCTACCACAAAGAGACTGATTATCTCTTAAACATAAAGAGCCTTCTACAAATAAGTAAAAAGAATGATTAATATAGGAGAAAAATGAGTAAAGAACATGTTGTTCACAAAAAGAAATACAGTATAAGGAAGTAGTTTGTGTCATTTATGAGAAATGATAATTGAAAGTATACTTATTGAAACTATATTTTCATCTGTCAGCAGTAAAAGCCTAAGCATCTCCTCACCATTTTTTATGTTACTGGGAAGGTAAAGTAATGCAGTCTCTGTGAATGATAATTTTACCAAAATCTGTCAATTAACCACATACAGACTTTTCAGTCTGGCAGATTCTCTTGTAAGAGTATCTTTCAAAACATATAAGATTAGTCCTTACAGTGTTGTTTCTTAAAGAAAAAGATTAAAAGCCTGAATATTTATCATAATCGAATTATAATGTACCCTGATGTTTTGTTAAGCTACAATTGGATGATAGACCAGCAGGTAATAATGGAAACACAAACAGGTTCTAAGAGAAGTAGTTGGTACAATGATTTTGGAATGATACATAAAGAGCTGTCAATAATGGATGGATTTCTTTGGGATGGGGAATTGGATGGTGAAAAGCCAAGACTGTTCATACACCTTTGTATGGGGAAGCTTCCAAAATTAAACATAAAATAAAATAGTACCCTATTTGAATTCTTAGAATTTAAATTATTTGTGTTTTATTGTTGAATTGCATCCAGCTATGAACATTTTATGATTACTTAATTAGAAATTCAGAAAATTGTTCAGTGTCTAGTTTCAAGTTTTCTCCCTTTGTTTTAGGCTCTCCAGCTGAACTGTCTCCTACTACCCTATCTCCTGTTAATCATAGCCTTGGTAAGTTCAAGACCACTGTTTTCACAGTGCCTACTTAAGGAAAAGTCTACTCTAAAAATTATTTTTCATATGTATGAGAAAACAATACCAGTGAATAAGCAAAAATAGGCAAAAGGTTTAAATCATTGCTTTTAAAAAGACTGTTCAAATATTATACTAAACACCTGTAAGTAGGAAACATAATCGTTCTATTCATTGAATATATGTCCTTTATGAAAATATCCTAATATGGAAATATTTTTATTGGTATATTTAATGTCTTCCTGTAACAGTTAGTGTAAGAGGTGTGTGTGTGTGTGTGTGTGTGTGTGTGCGCGCGCGTGTGTGTGTGAGTGCTCATATATGTATATACAAATATATATAGCGTACAAATACATAAATGTATGATAGAAGAGAGAATTTGGATGAGTGAATGTGTGTGTGTTAGTGTTTATGTATATTAACTTGTGTCATTTATTTTTAACCTCATTTTACTTGGAGTTCTATAATTTCTCCTTATCTTTTATATGCTTGGAACTCCATGAAATAGAAAAGTTTCAGTTTTTTTCTTTTCTTGATATTCTTCATAATTTTAGTTAAAGGTACAGAATTAAAATATATGTGGTTCTTATTTTCCCATGAAATAAGCTTATTTCCATATTGTTTTCACTTGTATATCCTTTCTGTTTTAATACTTTAATTTTTATATATGCAGGAATTTATTTTCTACTTTTTTAATAACTAGAATAACTTACCAAGTCAAAATAGACAAATGGCCATCTTTTATATGCTTTTTATCTTAGGCTTACTAATCTTTGTTCCAGCTTTATATTTTATCCTACCAAAATTAACCTCCATTATGTATTTTTAAAATGTACTTGGTATGGCAAGTTGACTTACTACCTATGGTTTTATATTTGGGCAAGAACTTGATTAAAACTACAGATAAATAAATCCAGTATAAAATGACACTTCATGAGATGGGGGAAATTTAAAAATATACTATGTGTGGAAACTGAGAGAGTTCCATCTACTTCCTGAACTGATGCCCATGTCTTCTGGAATAGAACATATGAAGACGATACTATTCTATTCTTGTCTTAAATTGTTCACACATCTCTCTTTTACTTGTTTTCTTTTCCAGATTTGCAGCCAGTTACCTATTCAGAACCTGCATTTTGGTGTTCAATAGCCTATTATGAATTAAACCAGAGGGTTGGAGAGACTTTCCATGCATCACAGCCCTCACTCACTGTAGATGGCTTTACAGATCCATCAAATTCAGAGAGGTTCTGCTTAGGTTTACTTTCCAACGTTAATCGAAATGCTACAGTAGAAATGACAAGAAGACATATAGGTACGTTTTCTTTTCCTGGTGTGAAAAACCAGTACGGTATACTTATTATGTGGGCTTGTTTATAAAATACTGAACCTTCCATTGTTTAAATGCTATTGTAGTTAAGTATATAGGCTTTACTACCTTTGATAAATCCTGGAGATTCTTCAGTCTTCAAGAACTTTGCTTTGACTTAACATTTATTTGGCACACTTCATAGTGAGAATTACTTCAATAAATATATATTCAAGTAAATTTATGTTAAATCAAACTTGCTCTCAATTAATCTGAGAATACCGTTCAGAGGGGCTCAGAATAATGTGGGTTATGGATCCCTGTAATTCCTAGAACCTGTCAGCAAGTTGATGAGGTCAGAATGTTTACCTAATGATATCAAGATACTACTTGCCATTTTTACTCCTGATTTTCTTCCAAGTGGTCAGTGAATATTTAGGTTAAATGTGCTACTGATACATAAATTCAAAAGAAATTTTTTTTTTGGCGGGGGGGGTCCGGTAGTGGGGCCTGAACTCTGGGCCTGGGCGCTGTCCTTCAGCTTTTCGGCTCAAGGCTAGCGCTCTACCACTTGAGCCACAGCACCACTTCCGGCTTTTTTCTTTTTGCTTATATGGTGCTGAGGAATCGAACCCAGGGCCTCATGTATGCAAGGCAAATGCTCTACCACTGAGCCACCTTCCCAGCCCCTCAAAAGAACTTTGAAGTAAAGAAATTTGGAAGTGACTGGACTATTGTCACTTCTTGTTATGCTGGGAATGAGTTATTTTTCATAAATATTGTTTATATTAATAAATGGCAGGTTTATTGAATTTGTTACATAAGTTTCTCTAAATATAATCCACATATGTCAAAATCGTTTGGGATGGATATGTAGTATTTTTTAAACAATGAGGTAAAAAATTTGACTCTCTTAATAATTGAACATCATTCTGAGCACCAAGTTTGCTTCTGTTAAGCATTTGCCATTATGTTCTGTGAGAAATAATACCTACCAAGGAATGATTTGTATAATGCTGCTTAAAAAAGAGTAATTTTGATACTGTAAAATGAAAGAGTATACTTAGTTGTATTTGTGTAGAATTCCCAAATCTTGGTTGATATCTAAATTTGAATCATCTTACTAAAGTACCCAGGTGTCATGGCAGGTAAAGAAGGCCTCTGACTGTCCCACTACTTTACCCACGTAGTATTTTCTTTTCTCCTTACTTTCCATGTAACGAGGATTGAGGACCTTTCATGCTAGACAAATGCTCTACCACTTGAGCCACACCTCAGCTCAGTTATTTTCTCTTTTGTATTTTAACTGGGGTTTTGCATAAAAAAAAATCAGCAAATATCCTCTGTCCTCACTTATTTTAACAGTGTTTCAGGTAGCAGTAATTTTAGATTGCCTTTATACTTTTGGTTTCTTGTTTATCATGTGATTTTGATCAGAAAATAGAACCTGAAGAATCTGTTTTTTTCTTCGGTATTTTCATGATATCTGGTTGATTGTTGTATAAATATTCAAGACTTAAGAGAAAAGAGTACTAGGCTCTGCATTTATCTGTAAATCTGGCTTGTTGATTGTCTTCTTTCCCTGCAAAAAGATAAGCTCCTTTTCTTAAGGTCAGGTTATTTGCTAACATAATTACAGCTGAAAACTTCTTAACCCATCTGAAAAATCCTCTTGACAGAGAAGGTACTGAGACACCAGGACAACTCTTACATTCTGTCATAAAATAATTCTTTTGCATCTTTTGATTTGTCAGATTCTGAAAGGAATACTAAGATACCTCATTCCATTTTTTTCTTGCTTAATTTTGCTTATAGATCTAGAGATTTGGTTGCCTCTGTGATACATAGCCTCTTGATATTTTTTTTGTAACCTTCATGTAATCTTTAAGGAAAATACACTTGTCCAAACATAGTCATTCTCTCAAAATTAGGTCAGTTTTTAAAGTTTTTAAATACAATTTGTTTGAAATATTCCCATTGTCAATGTACTTTTTTACAGTTTAAAATTCTTTAGCATATATTACTTTTAAAGCCTGGCTGTGTAAAAAGTCACAGAAATACTTCAGATCATTTTAGAATCTCTCTTAAGATTTCCATAGTCACACTGAAATAATAAATGTTCTAAGACTAACATAGTATTATTTCATTTTAGGAAGAGGAGTGCGCTTATATTACATAGGTGGGGAAGTTTTTGCTGAGTGCCTAAGTGATAGTGCAATCTTTGTGCAAAGCCCCAATTGCAATCAGAGATACGGCTGGCACCCTGCAACAGTGTGTAAAATTCCACCAGGTATGGACTCAACAGTATAAATAAACCTATCACATCAACTTACTTAGCTGTTGTAGTTGCTAATAATTTTAGGAACCAGGAGATGATTTGCATGCTCATATTATAAATAAAACGTATATTCCTTTTAAATTGTTTCTTAATAATGATGCTGTTCACACACAGTTTCATTTATTATTTTTTTTCCTAGGTTGTAACCTGAAGATCTTTAATAACCAGGAATTTGCTGCTCTTCTGGCTCAGTCTGTTAATCAGGGTTTTGAAGCTGTATATCAGTTAACTAGAATGTGCACCATAAGAATGAGTTTTGTAAAAGGTTGGGGAGCAGAATACAGGTATGAAATATATATTCAGTTCACTAGTTTCTACAGTATAATTATTTGTATTCTATTCTTCTAGCGTTCATTTATAATCTCTTTTCATTGAAGATCTGGAGTTAGCTGATCTCTATGTATAATAATAAAGGAAAAGTTGGAGACCTGAATTCAAAACTGTTGCAAATTCCAGTGCTGGCGTTATAGATGATAGGATTCAAGCATGTAGGCATACATTTTAACATAATACCAGTATATGTAAAGGGTTATGTTAGTTTACAGAAGGAAAATTTTTTCACTTAGAACTCAGAGAAGGCTTCTTTGTAGTGATGAGACATCAACTACTTTTTAAAAGATGAAAAGGATTTTATAGGTAGGAATGGATAGGGTGGAAAGTTGTAATCCTGACAGTTAAACCGTAGCTTTGTTTAGAGAATAAAAATTGAAAAAACTAAGATTGGACAAACATGATGAAAGGCCATTTGAGCAAATAACCTCCTTATTTGTGGTCTCATCTTGTATTCATTACCCAAAGTCAAGTGAGCTTCACACTGTGGCTCTTGTACTGTATGTACAGGTGTAATAGAAAAAATTTCAGACATAGAAATTTAAATATCAGCACTTGGAAGTTAACTTGAGCATTTTCATAATCTGAAAGATATAGTGGGGTACTTACATCATCTGCTACAGAACACGTTTTTAGAAATACTGTTTCAAATTATATTAGGCACATATCATTCATTTGGAAATGAAGAGCTGATAACAGACTTTTCTTATGTTTGGGAGGTTGTCATGTTGAAGATGCAGAAGCACCATTATTGACTTGTCTGTGTAACAAATAACTCAGACAAGTTCATGAGAGGGACAGGATGTCAGAAAACTTGGCAATTCCCAAGGAGCTGTCAGTTTGTTGAAGTACTAGGGGTATTTTGTTGGTTTGTTTGTTTTTAATCAAAAGACTGAGTGATATTGCTAAAGAAGATGTTTATTCTTTAGCTCTATTAAGGGAAGTTCAATTCTCAAGTCTTCTGTGGTAAAAATTTAGCTTGGGTCAAAATTCAATTTGATTTTGATATACTCTAAATTTGAACCCTGTTCCATTTAAACTCTGATACTAAGTATCTTATTAATCTGTGGCTGGTTGAGTAGGGTGACTATTTCTCACTTTACTTGCGATAGTACTTCCTGTGTACTTCTCTCCTCTTAGCCTGATAGAGCTTACATTTTCCCTCAGAAATGTCCCATTTTAAGTAATGGTTAAGTAACAATGTCAATAAACTAATCTTAATTTAAGAGGAAAAGAATGTGTTTTAAATTTCTTAAAACTGTTCATTAGAGTATTTTGATTTTGAAGACGAGCCATTTTTCTACCCAGATGTACAAAATTAAGAATTGTTCAAATGATATAACATTTTGTTACATACAGTTTGCTAACTTTTTTTCCTTGTATTTATTCAAACAGAAGACAGACAGTAACAAGTACTCCTTGCTGGATTGAACTTCATCTGAATGGACCTCTACAGTGGTTGGACAAAGTATTAACTCAGATGGGATCCCCTTCAGTGCGTTGCTCGAGCATGTCGTAAAGCTTCATCATCAATCAAGTTCCATCAAAAGACTTAATGTAACAACTCTTCTGTCATAGTATTTGTTGTTTGGTCCCCATGGACTCTTTGCTATCCAAAAAATCCAGAGAGAAAACAGCACTTGAGGTCTCATCAATTAAAGCACCTTGTGGAATCCTTTCCTATGTTTGAATATTAGATGGGAAAATTAGTGTCTAGAAATGCCCTCCCAAAAAGGGGAAAAAGAAGATTTAAAGACTAAGGATATCTTGTTGGGCCTAAGACTGAGTGTCCCAAAGGTTTATAATACAGTAGTAGTTATGTGTACAGGTAATGGATCATGACCCAGTATCGCAGTATTGTGCTGTTTATATACATTTTTTTAGTTTGCTTAAATGAGGGGTGTGTGTGTTTGTATGTGTGTGTGTATGTGTGTGTGTATGTGTGTGTATGCGTGTGCTGCTTCTTGACCTTAGGCAAGCCTTTATAAAGTTACAGTACCTACTCTGTTATTCTCACTTATCCGTTATTTTTGTGTCTTTTTTAATATATAATATATATATCAAGATTTTCAAATTATCATTTAGAAGCAGATTTTCCTTGTAGAAAAACTAATTTTTCTGCCTTTTACCAAAAAATAAACTCTTGGGGGGAAGAAAAGTGGATTAACTTTTGAAATCCTTGACCTTAATGTGTTCAGTAGGGCTTAACATTCGTTCTTTCTGTGTTTGTTTATTTACTGGCAAATCTTACTGTAGAGATACCTTGCTGACAACTTTTCCCAAGCCTCTTTTCTTCATCCCACTTTTGTTCTGATACCAAAACAGTGCAGCGTGACATCATCATCAGTAATAGTTGCGCTAATAGCCCCTGGCACCAGTTAACTCTGGGACCAGTAAAAGTTCGTATGGACTAAGTCTCCTTGACTTGCAACCAGATAATAACTGACTTGTATAGCCTATCAGTCTACTGACTTAACCTTCCACTTCATAAAAAATACACAAGTGACAGTGTAATTGTTTTCAGGGATATGCTAGAATTACTTCAGTATATTTATCCTTTTTAAAAAGCCAATCTAGTAATAAAGTACCCTTTTTTAAAAGGTATTTAAAAATATTTCAGTAGTAGACCTGCTCTCTGATTTGAGGAGCTTCATTTGACTCAGTTACCAGATTGTATTATGAAATGGACCTTTTATAATGTAATTCCATAAAAATCCCTAGAAAAGTTATGCTGAGGTATGATCAGCAGATAAGGGCCATCTGTTTTTAAAGTATGTTGTATTCAGTTTATAAATAGGATGCTGTTTTGCATAATTAAGAATTTAGAATTTTAAAAAGTGGGAGAAAAGCAAGTAAGTTTTTTTTAGCATTTACTTCCCTGCAGTCTGACCTGTTCCTAACTCTTCCTAGGTATGAGGTTGGCTTCATGCACTGCAGTGAGAAGATTCCAGCAGCTCTGTTGATAGACCATTGTTGCAAATAATTATGTCTAATGTTGACTCATGACAGTGTAAACATTTCTTCTTGTTTACATCTCAGTAGAATAACCACTCCTGATCTCGTTTTCGTGAATTTTCATACTTTTGGAGATAGATACTTTTGGTACTTGTTCTTTGAAACCATATTTACCTGTATGTACAGGTTTCATTTTTGATACTTTTTTTTCAGCATTTGGTTGTTTCCTATTGTATACTTTTCCATTTTCATATATTTGTGTGTATATGTATGTGTTCATGTGAATTTGGTATAGTAATTTTTTATTCATTCAATGAATATTTATTGTTCACCTGTTTTGTGCTAGGAACTTTCTTAGCCTTTAGAAGAAGGTGAACAAGACAGCTCAGCTCCTGCCTTTGCCAAGACAACATTGATCAAACCTGTAATCGTCTTATGTGTCTATGAAGGAGATAAACAGGGTTCTGTCTAGAGACTAGCAGCTAACATGATGCTTCAGGTAGGACATTGAGAAGGCCTCTGAGGAAGTGATGCTTGAGCTAACATCTGGTCTAGAAGGAGCAAGCCATGTGAAGAGCCAAGGGAGATTAGCACTCCTGGTGAAGGGGACAGCATCAAACACAAAGGCTCATGCTAAAAGTAATTCACTATTAAGTGGTCATGCTTTATACAGAAACCTCTACACAAAACCAAACTTGAAGATCAGAATAGTGCTACAGTTTATTATGTTGAAGGTGGCCTTATTTTGTGATACGCTGTTTCATGTCATTCTTATTAATAAATTCTCTGCCTGAAACCTTTGCTAGAAAAATTTCCTATTTGCACCAGGCCAATACCACTTAATTAAAAAACCCTTTCTTGCGCAAATTTTCACCAACTTGTGACCTGCTGCTTACTTCCAGACTTCTTGTTTCTCACTGATTGTTACTTCCACTGACAGTGTGTAAGTTATTTCCCAGGTATTACCACCTTCAAGCCTGCTGGCCGTCTCAGTGGAGGATCTGTCCTTCATTGGAAGTTTTGATGTACTTGAGAACTTGTACTGATATTGAAAACACCGTTGTATTGAGCAGTTGATTTCATCGTAGTGGTGATTATGTTTGTGTGAATATGTTTAATGATCATATTTGCTCTTTTAATGAGATACTGGTTTTTGTATTATATTTTTTCTACTGTGGCTGAATTTTTTTTTTTCCCCTTTCATTTTCTAGGAATAGTTTTTATTCCCAATGATAGTGTCTCCTCTCTGTTGATTTTTGTCTTGATTGAAGTTAGCAACATGATTTGGGATTTACCCTTCATAGCCCTGTGATGTCCTTCATGTAGTACCTCAGAACTGAATGGCCATGCTGGTGTACCATTTCTAAGGTGATTTAGGAGGTGTCTTCCCGATGGCTCCACAGAGGCACTATGGAGCTGGCCTAGTAGGACTTGGTAGCTGGTGGAGTGGAGTTCCACATAATATTTCTTCTGAAAAAAGTTTTATTGCCTTTTAAAAATATGTTTTGTAAATTCTTTAGAATTAGAGTAGAAACATCTAACAGGATTTAGTGCCAGTCTTTTGTGCTAATTTCACCATATTAAAATTTTCTTGATAAGATCTGATTCACACATTATATACTGGTATACATTCACTCAACCAGTGGACACAATGATGCCTGTTGTCTAGTATGGCCCTCAAGCATATCTTAGTCCTGTGAGCATATACTCTGCCCTCAGGACATGTTGCCCAATTTTTCTGGAAAGCTAAATCTTCTCATTCTACCCTAGTACTTTGTATTCTGAGTATATTTGCAGCTTATTTAATATCTAGTTGTATTTTTTACTTTAACCATATGCAGTTTGTTTCATTCATCTGCCTTATAAACATTGTCAGATTTTTCCTTTTGTTAAAATTATTTTAATTTACTTGATTTGTGCCTTTGTTGGTTTCATCAAGACTAAGACTTTGAAGATGCAGAAAATCAGTCTAGTCTCTTGCTAGTTGAAACAAATAAAAGAAAGTATATGCCCAGTTGGTTTCTCTACCTCTTCTAAAAGCTGCCCATATATACCCTTAAAAATCTATCCTTTTTAAATTTACAAAATACTTGCAGCAATTATTCTTTATTAGGGCCTCTCTTAGTTTGGATTGGGATGTTGATAGTGGGATTTAAAGCAACACAAGACGATCTTCACTGTACTGAAAAATCTGTATTTATATATGGTCTTTGCTTTAAAAACAGAACATTCTTATTTCCCCATTTGCCCCTACACCATGCCATCTTCACAAGTATCTATCTCTATCTGGACATGAGCAACCAGGGATCTTTTTTATTACTCTGATCTAAGGCATTGATGTTTAGATGCCCATTGTCTTTCATGCTTTACTTAGATGAATCTTTTTTTATATTCCTCAACAGAATTTTTTGCTCCTTCCCTTCTGACAACATGTATCCAAGTGGTACTTGCTGATTACACTTTCCCCTGCCAGCCATATTTTGTGTGTGTACATCAAAATGTTTTTTTTTTTTTTTTCCCTCAGAACTTGACTGTTTAAAGGAAGATTTTTTTTTTAATTTTTTTTTATTTTTTTTATGCCAAGTCCTCATTTCTTTACCAGGAAGGTCAATACTCAGATTTCACTTACCCCTTAAAAATAGCTCAAAATTCTACCTGGTTAACTGTCTTTGTGACTAGCAAGTAGCAAACTAGCAGACTTTTAGTTACCTTTATAATGGACTTTGCTGATATTTAAAGCCAGTGTTAGCCCTATCCCACCCTGGGGCTTACTTAATTTTTGTATTTAGTACAAACATCATGGTAATGAATATGGTCTCCAACCAGTCAGAATCCTACTATTGAGTTCCTTTTCTACCCTTGCAAGTTTTTGTGAGTATTTTGTTCTTTCAGGCAATCTCTCTTGGAGTGGAATTCCTGTGTTTTACACCTCACAGCTAGGAAATTGAACTATATTAGATAATCTCATTGATAGCCTTTATGATAAGAACTGAGCTCATACATGTGTTTATGTAGGAACTGTTTTTAACTTGGATATTACAGCTAACTTTATATGTAATAGAATTCACATTTTTTAGCAGGACAAAAAACTGTATATGAGTTTATAAATACATATACATGCAGAAAAATGGACAGAAGGGTCATTGTAACAGTCATGAATGATTCTGTTGTTTAAATCTCAGATCTTCCTAATTTGCTTTCAGATATTTTCCTTTCATCACAACCATCAGTGTAATTTTTTCTTTTAATTCTGCCAGTTTTAATTTGGCCATTCAGTAAGTTGGCCATTTTTAGGCAGCTTGACAAGAATCCTAAGTTGATTTATCCACAACAGATAAAGCTCTTCTGTCTACTCCTTCTCCAAATTACTAAACATTTAATGGTTTCTGAATGTATTAACTTAGGGTTGATTATTGTTAGATTACTCCTCACTTTAGTTCCCCTCTTTTCTTCCTAAGGTTGCTTAAGATACTTGGGAAGTACCACCAGAAGCTAATGATAGCCTGAAAGAAGGTGGTTTCCAGCTTGACTTTAGCTATGCCCAACAGCATTGAGTTTCCCAAGGTTCCTTTGGTCCTCCCTGACTCACAGGGGACTTAACTAGAGTATTTTAAACTAAGGTGATGTCAGTATTAATTGGTTTGCTGCCACAGGAGGCCCAGAGTAGAATAAAAGTTTCACTACTGCTTGATACACATTATCTTTTGAGATACAGTGTCTTACAATACATGTGAGAGGGTTTGTAATTTCACCTAGAGGAATTTGAGGTATTTATTTTTTAATTTCATTCTGCCTTCCTAATTTTTTTTTAAATCTCTTGCCCAAAATTTCCAGTTTGCTCTTTTTGAATGGATGGTCTTTCTAATTAAAGACATTTATTGAAAAATAAAATCCATAATGTGTTCACTTAAGGATAAAGTGAACATTTAGAATTATAATAGCTAAATCAGATATATTTTTCCATTTCATAATCAACTCTTCTTCCTTTTCCCTGTGGCTTAAATTTTTTGGCTATTTTACAGTGTTAGTCACTAGGTAACTTGCCATATTTCTAGTTCTATATTAAGTTCTGCCCTTTACAATGCTGTAGCATAAAGTTGGTTCTTAACATTTGTCTGTGGAAATAGAAGCTTACTAAAGTCTCTTTTTTCCACTGAAAATTTCCTTTCCTCAGTAAGTCCATAAGAAAATAGATATGCCACTGTTATTAGTCACATTCTCAGATTGTTCAAGCTGAAAAGAATTGTGCAGAGAAAGGAGAGGGAACATTGCTGGTGAATATACGTCTTTACCTTAGGAAGATAGTCATTGTTGGTTTGTGTAACTGATATAAACAGGTTAAATCAGGAAAAAAATAATTACCACATTATAGCGATTAGATGGTGTGCATGAATATTTAATTAAAAAGCATTTCTTAGCAAAATGCAGAACTCAGATTGGGTATTTCTTAGAGACCAGCTTTACCTCAGGCTTCAGTTTTGCTTTTCTGACCCTGACTTTTGAAGCATAAATATTTGTGACTTCTTATTAGTGATAGTGATGGTGTGACACTAAACATTTTATACAAGGGGATAAAACAAGAAAATTCGTAGAGATTAAGATGAAAGTAGTTCTTCAGTTGTTGAACTAGATCATAACATTGTAGGCAAAATAAAAATGTGCATATCAGAGTATTTTTGCCATTCTCCCCCAAGGTCAGCCCTTCTGGTAGAATACAGTGGAAAGTACCATGATTTGGGCTATTTGTAAATATCTCCAGTTGGCCATCTTTTTAACTATATAAAGCAAAGATGTCGGCAGTAGCTGGTGGGTTGTTTTGTTGTGTGTTTTTTTTTAACCTTAAAAAGGAGTATAGAAAGACATACAAAACTTGATTATTTGTCTAGCTCTTAAAAATCTCAAAGGTATAGAGTGAAGTACTATGTGACTAGACAAAGCCAGGTGGACTTTTGGAAGATTATCTGCAAACAGGTTTCAGTAGTGGACTTTGTTGTTACTACCCACTAAATTTGCTTGGTTACTCACAATTTTTTTTTTTTTTTAAAGCTAACACCTTTAAGGTGTTTCTGGACTTCTAGCCTTTTAGCAAGTTTGGAGGAACTAGCCGTCAGTTAGTGGGCTAAAAGAATTTGGGGGCTGATATCCTTAAAAACGGCCTTATGCTCTTGGACATTTCTTTCGATTATGAGGGAGGGTTGAGTGGTGTTCTTAGGATAGCCAACTATTCTGGCATGCTGGGGACTAAGGAATTTCCTTTGGGGCCAGAGCCAGGGAAGCCCTAGGCCCCCTCCCCCCCATTAAGAATTGTCCCCCTTTGGTGTCCTCATGATTTACTCTCCCTGGTGTTGTCATAGTTGTTGGCTATGCTTGCTGCTCCATGGCTGTCAATATGTTAGATGCTGAGATAGCTTTTCTCTTACTACTATGGATAGGACTTGAGATTGTAACAGGCAGTGAGCCAAAACACCTACATTGTAATGAGACTTCGCACTTAGCAACCTAGGAAATGGCACTGCATTTTTAATGAGAAAAGACAACTAGATAGCTAGGCTCTTCACAATCTGTAAGTGTATCAGGTGTGAAACTTCACAATAAACAAAAACAGTGTGGTTGTGGATTTCTCTCATAAGAGAAACATAGCTTTTGAGGTCCTGACCTCTATAAATACCCCGTTCTGTCCTGCTCAAAAGGACAGAATACAGTATTATATTTCTTTTTGGTGACTGTTGTATTGAAATGATCCCATGCACCAGCCAATCACAGGTGAAAGATTGTGTGTCCTGACACAGGCTGCACTGTTTGCTCTCAAGTCTTACGTCCTCCCATCCTGAAGGTGCTTACTAGCTAGAACACCAAGCTCAGGAGCCAAGGGTTTCCTAAGAAGGCATCGATGTTGTGATGCAACATGGTGGATGCAGACTGTTCTTGTTCCCCACTGGTAGTCTTCAGGGGCTGCATCCTCTGCACTGTGATGATGTGTTCTTTGTAAGCCTTCTTCCTATAACAGAAGAATGATGTGGTTCCTTTTTTGTCATTAAACAATGAGCTGAGGCTTTATTACAGCTGGTTTTCAAGTTAAACTTGTGAAATACTGATTTCCTTCCCCTGCCCACACCAAATATTTTAGTCTATTTAAAGTATTAAAAAAATAGTTCTACTTAAGAAAACATTGCGTAAATGTCCTGTGATTTCTGGTCAATTTTATATATATATTTGTGTGCATCTGTATGTGCTTTCATTTTTTACCTTGTTTGCTCTCTACCTGTGTTAACAGTATTGTCGCCATTGAAAGGTGAACAATTTTCCTAGCATTAAAAAAAAGCCATTTGAGTTGTTTACCATGTTATTATGGGACTGCTTCTTATTGTAATGGTTTGGGTTTACTGATCTTGTTTTTTAGAGGGGATTATATTTTTGTGTGTGTGTCCACTGCCTAAATTACATGGATACAAACCAAAAAGCCCTCAAGGCCTCATGTTCTCCCTGGGCTTTTTGCTTACCACTTGAGCCACCTACCACTTGATCTATACCTTTAGTTCCAGCTTTTTTCCTGGGTCCCCTCCCCCCACCCCCACCTCCCGGGCTGCTTTCAAATCTCTGTCCCCAGATGTCAGACTTGTGAGTAGCTAGGATTATAGGTGTGAGCATCTGTGCCCAACTGTTGAATTCTTAATAGAAGGTAAGAATATTAAGCCAGTAACAGATCCAAGGGCAGTTCAGCCACAGAATAAGTATGCTTTCTAGGAAGTGACACTAGAGAATGTGTCTAAAGCTACATGCCCTTATTGGTGATTGAGTAGATGGGAATGTGAAAATAATTTGCTAAGTTTTTTTGTTTTTTGGTCGGTCATGGGGCCTGAACTCTGAGCCTTGGCACTGGCCCTTAGCTCTTCAGCTCAAGGCTAGCGCTCTACTACTTGAGCCACAGCACCATTTCCGTCTTTTTCTGCTTATGTGGTGCTGAGGAATCAAACCCAGGGCCTCATGCAAGGCAAGCACTCTACACTGAGCCACCTTCCCAGCCCCCATAATTTTCCAAGTTTAATGAACTGTTTTCAGTAGCTTACTTTGGCGACCACTAATATTTCCTTACTGCTATATAGTAATAGTATTACTTTGAAACTTTTGAAATTAGGGAAGATAGGTGGTCCCACAGGGAAAAAAAGTGCTTCTGAACCATGTGGTCCAGGAAGAGCATGGACTTAATACAGGGTAAGTGCATTGTTCAAGTATGCATTCAACTTGCGGAGCTGGAGACGACTTCTGAAGTAGGTCAAAATGAGATCTTGAAACCCCTCTTGCTTGGGAGATCAATGTGTATGAAAACTGGACAATGATACCAAGCTGCTATCATTTGTGGAGGAAAGAAAAATCTACAGCCCATAAACAGATGGGAAGCCTATACAATAATGGAGCCTTGTCAAGTGTGGTGGTGCACATTTGTAATTCCAGCAGAAGCAGAGGTGGGAAGATCCCAAGTTTGAGGCCAACCTGAGCTACATAGCAAGACCCTGTGCCAAAAAGCTGGCAAACAGCTTAGGTAACTGGGAAGTAAAATCCACCAGGAGTTGTAAAACTTGGATTTCATAGTCTACAACGAGAGACATACTTCTGAACAGTCAGTTGGCAGCATGGTGGTAAGTATGCCAGCTAAGGATGGGCTGTGTGGGGTGGGTATGAAGGTATAGCCGCATTTACACTGGTTTTGTGTGTGTGTGTGTGTGTATGTGCGTGTGTGTGCATATGTGTGCATATGTGTGTGTAAAAAAAACATTAGCTTACAAGGCTGAAAGTTTCTCAGGGTGTATGTGTGTGAGTGTGTGTGTGTGTGTGTGTGTGTGTGTGTGTGTGTGTGAGTAAATCATTAGAGGCCCAAACTCAGTTGTGATTCTCGGTCATGGCCACTCATGTGGAATTTCAGCTGGAAATTCATGTACTCTGATTGCAATCTTAAGAATTTTTTCATGTGAGATCTTGTCTATGTTGTAACTGGTAGATGTTGATCAGACTATGTAGAATAAGTAACACTTCAATGCACAAAGCTCACCTACTTGTAAATGCTTTTTGCAGTTTAAAAGTATGTTTGGGCTGCAGTAGGGAAAATGAAGATTAAAACAAGCCTAGTTTAATCATCTGAAATGAAAGTATTTTGTAAAAATATTTAGGTTGCCCTTTTATATTGAAAAAAAATAGATGACTGTCTTTGTTTTACCCATGAACTGCGGCTAGTTCAGTCCAACTTTTAAATCAAGATCTGGAATAATAGACTGTGGTATCTCCTCATTTTAGAAGCATACTTAGTCAATCATGAGCACATTTTCTAAGGAACTGAATTTTGTAGAGATAATTGGATGCTTTCATCTGTAACAGAATTAGTGGCCTGCAAAGCCCTGTGGTTTCTTACTCTGCTCTGAAGTTGTTAAAGGGAGAATTTTCTGCTACAAGCTATATTCATAAGGAAAGTAAAAGGTAACAATTTTTTTCAATTCTAAAATGAAAACCACTGATAAAAATTAAAAGTTTAATTTTAACAGGTTTGCTTGCTCTTTATCATTCTAGAATCCCAATATTTTGAAACTCATATATGCTGGTAAAGTCAAGTACTATATTTTAGTGCTCAGAGGGTTTCTATATATATAAGATGCAATATTTATTTGCCAAAATACCAACTTCATTCTCTGTGTTCTACTTTTTTCTTTCTACTACTCACCCTCTGTTATTAAACCCTTAGAAAACTACCATATCTTAGAATTCTTAGTTTGTTGTTTTTATTTTTTAAAGAACTTAAAATTATAAAGGAAAAGAGACCTAAAACTCCAGCTTATCATTTTTCTTTGAAAGTTACTTCTGAAAATGGGCACATAATTTGTTTATTCACTTACTTTCTGATTTTATCTATCTTTATTCTAAGAATGTCACCACCCACACTAATCTCTAGTGTGTAGTTAGTATAGAGGAATATTGAACATAGTTCTTTGAGACTAAACTGGGAAATAGCAGAGGTTCTATTGGTATGATTTAGTCTCTTTGATTGCCAGGCAATTTCTCCATAGCCAATAGCAGTGTCCCGAGGTCAATTTAAGACTGGAGGATTGAACGCTTGAAGAAACAGTGCTGTAAGAGATAAAAACCCAGTTGCCTTCTTTGAACATACTTACTTGGCCTTAAGTGATTTTGAGATAATAGTGCTAGCTCGCTCTAGTTCTCTCTCTCCCTGTCCCTGTCCCCCTCCCTTTCCTTCTCTCCTCTCTGCTCTCTGCTCTCTCCTCTCTCCTCCCTCTTCTCTCCCCTTTCCTCTCCTCTCCTCTCTCTTCTCTCCTCTCTCCTCTCTCCTCCCCCCCCCCCCCCCCCTTGATCCCTGGAGCTTGAACTCTGGAGGCCTGGGTGCTGTCCTTGAGCTTCTTTTGCTCAAAGATAGCTCTCTACCACTTGAGCCACAGCTCCACTTTTGGCCTTTCAGTATATTGGAGATAAGGGTCATATTTTCCTGACTGGCTGGCTTTGAACCTTGATCCTAAGATCTCAGACTCTTGAGTAATTAGGATTACAGTCATAAGCCACTGGCACCTGGCCATTCTGTTAGTTTTAAGCCTTGGTTAAATATGGAAATAATGGAAAATAGAATTAGAAGGGCATCCCCACCCTTACTGTATTAATTTATATGACTTTGGGTATATCAATTTATTAGTCTCCCTTCAAGTTCCTCATTAACACAAATTACCCCAAATGGGGAGGTTAATTTTCAATGTAGTTGAGGATGGAAGGCAATCTCTTCAGTGAGTGTATATAATACAACCTGAGGCTCAGTGTTAATATGGCTGAATCCACACTGTCCAAAATACTAGAAGATAGTAACACGGTCTTTACTAACATATTCTCAGGAAAGTTGAAAATAGGTGTAAAACTCAGAAGTGTCAAATAAGTGAAAGCCTATGGGAACAGTTATCATCACTGAAGTAATGCATAATAGCTACAAACTCCCAGTGACCCAGTACTTACTGTGTAACAACAGCCATGTCATTTATGAGGTGGGTTGGTGATGGAACTGAGTGTCTAGGGCAGTCATAGTCTTGCCTGGTGTACCAGAAGAGTTGCCTAGAGGGATTCTACTTCTTTCCTATGCTTTTCCACCAGACAGACCCAATGTTTTCATGGCAGTGGCAGAACCACATTCACGCCCAATCTCACTGGTCCCTTTCTGCGAGCTCCATGCTGAGCAGTGCTCTCAGAAGGAAGCTACTCAGCCAGCTCCACAGTAGAAAGCTGTACAGTTTCCAGAGGTGACAATCTGCCAGGCCCTGTCAGCTTTGCACTGATGAGTTACTTACTATCCTTACTATTACTGCCAGCAATGAGGAAGAGGGGAAGAAATAAATACATGAGGTCCCAACCTAAGACTGATTCAAAGTGTTTTTAATTCAGAAGCATTAAGTAGATGCCTGTTTTAACATAACCCACGATGGGGTGTTAAAACCCAGGCAGTCTATTTTCTGAAAAAGTCCCATCATTGCGGTTGTTTGTGGCTGTTGTCACATGACTGGGAGTTCACGCTCCTGATCTAAGCCTAGCCTTTGCTGACTAGAAAAGCTCACACCTTGTAACCGAGATAGAAGGCATCATTCCTTCAGAGAAACTTCTTTATGATAAACATTGACATTTATTGATGCTGTATCCAAAACCTTTCTGGTATTTCCCAAACATGAAAATGCTGTCACCTTGCTAGCCACTTCAGAAGCATGAAATGCTTTATGCATTCATAGCAAGAATTTGACCTACCAAGGAATATGTTCACTCAGACCACGTTTATGTTCTGTTTCTATATTACCAGTATCAAAAAACTGTGTAGAATGTGAAGTTTCTGCTATCAGGGAGGTAAGAGTTCCCTTTGCTAGGAACCTCCAGGTGCTTGATGGCCTTGGACCTTAATGTGTCCACCACTCCTTTATCAGAGGGTGCCGAGTCATTCAGGACAGGGTATGCTTCTTTGATTTATGTTTAAATGACACTCCTGTCCCCACATTCATCTTGCCAGGCTCCTGGCTCCTTTTAACAGTCACATTCCAGTGAACATGCAAAAATACGTTATGGTCTTTTTTTACCTTGCAGTTAGCAGCTTATAATTTACCCCCCTTCAGAAGATAGCTAGAAAATTCATTTCCTTCTGGCCTTCATCACCAAATGATATGAGGACCAGTTCATGCCAATCCTGTCTGCCTTCTGTCCTCACTCCTCACTGCTTGTGTACTGATGAAAGAGCCTTCATCCTGTCATAATTCAGGATTTTTGAACTAAGACCTCTTAACTGCTTTGCTGAGTCCTGATGCTTTCTTTGCAAAGCATTCTGGC